TATGTGTTGATGATGAATGTTTGTGATAAACTGAAGGATGAAGTGTTTATGTGTTGAGAAAATACTCATACATCTTCAGATAAATAAACTCTTAAAAAGCCTCTTGGATCAGCTGTAAAATGCATCGTCACAAAGCTGAAACAGGGTGTTTATCTTTTTAGAGATACGTGGTTCTCACAGGACAGAGACGCTACAAACATATGATGATCTTATAGAATATGATGCATTGATTAAGATTAAACTAACCAACAGGATATAAAGGAGGTAAAATGCAACATAAACATTAATGCAGCAGGAATATTAATCCAGAAACATCAGATGTAATCGTGAAACACTGACAGGAACATTTTACTGCACATCAATACTTTAATATAAAACTTTATTATAGATAAAAATTGTAATACATATCCAAATCAACTTGGAGAAAAGCAGATAACAAGCTTACTAGTTTACTTAATTAAGTAAAGCTGAAAATTCTTATAATAAAATAATGCAAGTATTAGAAAGCCTTTAGTTTAAGTTTGCAGGGGTCTGTGTGTGTGTGTGTGTGTGTGTGTGTGTGTGTGTGTGTGTGTGTGTGCGTGTGTGTGTGTGTGTGTCATACCTTGAAGCGCAGTGTTCCTCTGATCAGTGTGTGCGCCGTGTGGATGCCGTAAGACTCGGCGTACATGGTGCTGTTGCGGTTTGGAAATCCCTCCAGGTTGAAACCAGGAAAGAAATCCATTGGCGTGCTGGACTCCATCAGAGCGCCGCCAGCCGGTATGCTCACCACCTGAACGACACAGATTCATTTTCACTACTTCATTTAAAGCGCTGGAAAAGATTTACAGAACAAATATATTGTTGTCTGGTCCTTTGAGGCCTCCGTACCTGGTTGTCTTGGAGGAAGATGGCGGGGCTGATGGTGTTGAGGAGGACGCCGTACGGACTCCAGCTGAACTTGTAGCGAAGAGGATTGTCGGAACATTCAGGAGCAGGAAGACCGCCGCAGAACGAGCTGTAGGACTCCACCTGAAACACCGTCAATTAACAACTTCATTGTTGTTCATTGTTAAAATGGTACAAAAAAAAGTGAATGACATGCTGGAACAGATTTTGGTCAAAACATTAATTGTCTTCTTCGACAGTGGTTTAATGGCATCTGACTGAAGAATAAGCGCCACCAGCTGTTTATCTCAATAAACCAACTGATAATATCTGCAGTAACATAACTGTAGTGGGTGGAAAGGTGCATTAATGGCCATTTTCTTTTTCCAATTTTGTGGAAATTCGGTTAAAATTAGCGCCACACGACACACACACACACACACACACACACACACACACACACACACACACACACACACACACACACACACACACACACACACAGAGAGAGAGCTGACTCACGGTGCAGCCGTCGGCTTTGGCCTTATCGATGCACTCCATGGCCAGCATGTGATCGATACCCGGGTCCAGTCCCATCTCGTTCACTATGGTGATGCCGGCCTCCTCCGCACTGACACACACAAAAACAATCTTTAGTATATCTTGATTAAAGGCCCAGTAAAATACATTTTCATCACCTGATTAAACCAGTTTACTAGTTTACAATGTCATTTTCTGCAAAAAATAAATAAATACAAGTTTGTTTGGTCGTGTTCTGTCACCGTTTTAATTGTGAGTTAGTTTTAAGCCAATTCTGCCACATCAAACAGTAACTTATATGTTTAATATTGTATAAAATATTACTTGTATATTTAAAGATGTTATACACACATGATAAAAGAAACGCATTGTTTTTGACTGATTACATTCATTACGTTGTTAAAGCACATCACCTGCTCTGCAGCTCCTTCATGGCGGGACTCAGGTAGCTGGCTGTCACCATGTTTACCTTCCTCCTGATGCAGTGTTTGGCGATGAGCGGGTGAAGAGTGTACGGCAGCATGCTGAGGAGCAGAGGGAGGACAGGTCAGGACAGACGGCGATCCATTCATCATGGATTTTTCATATGTATTTTTTGGTTTCCTATTGGTAAAGGTTGTGGATGGTACCTGGTACTTTTTATTTAATACGGACAGATACAATATGATGAGACCAACTGAAGACAGTTATCCGATGTTTATAGCAGATGCTAATTTGAAACGTATACTACGCACAGTACCCCGTATACTACGTACAGTACCCCGCACACTACGTACAGTACCCCGCACACTACACTGCACAGTATGCTGTACATTACACCTACAGCGTACATTATGAACAGGGCGGCGTACACTACAACGTAAACTATGTACAGTACACTGTACACTACGCCATAAAGTACACCGTACAAGACGTCATACACTACACCATACAATACGTATACTAGGCTGTACACTACACCATTAACTACCCCATACACTATGTACACAACATGTGTGTGACAACATATTCTGTTGTCCAGCGTGACTGCGGTCCATGCTGTACCTGATGACCAAGTCATGATCTTCGACCAGAGAGTCCAGGTGTCCTTCCTGGCTGCCGATGTCCAGCATGATGGGGATGGTGTTGGGATACTTGGCCGCCAGCTCCTCTGCCTGCTTCAGCAGCACCGACGCTGAGAGAAGGAAAGTCACGTCAGCTTATTCTGAAAAAGTTTCTTCTGGGATTAACGATACGACTGACTACAAACTGTGATGTATCTCCATTTTGCAGTGTTGAAGAGTATATTTACTCAACTGTACCTTTACTTAACAATTTCCATTTTATGCCACTTTATACTTCTACTGCACCACAATTCAGAGAGAAACATACTTTTTACTCCACTTGGCAGATAATACAAAATGTTAATCAACCATTAAATTAAGAAGCACTATGATGGATGAAGATGAGAATGTATTGGTCCCCAGCAGTACATATGGTACAAATAAAACCACCTTGCTGCAAAATTAAAGTGATGAACACATGAATGTATCAACTATTATTATTCAGTGATATCATATACATTAAAGGAACACTTCAACCTTCAGTTTATCACAAACATTCAACATCAACACACCTGGACACAAAGGGGATAAAAAAACATCTGAAAAGAAACTAAAGCGTTCAGACAAAAGTAGTAAAAAGTACAATATGTACCTCTGAGATGTAGTACAGTAAAAAGT